GTTATAACATGACCTGGGTGTGCGTGAAGCTTTGGTCGGGCTGGAAACACGTAACGATGATTTAGTTGCATCTTCTGTCTTTTAATGGACGTGCCCCTCCCCTTACAGGTAAAACGGGACATTTTCATTGAAGGCGATCTCATGTGAAGCCTCGTTATTTGTGAATGTGTTTGTGAAAGGAGTCGGGGGAGGGGCCAGAGTTGTAAGGACGAGAGAATGTGTGGGCTGGATGTGTGTGAGGAGGAGGGGAGGATTTAATTTAATTTTCGATGCCAAGAAAGAGTGCAGTCTTCAAGTGTTATGTAAGATACAACGGTTGTCAGTATCCCATCCCAAATGATATTTCCTGGTTCTCATATAAGCCCTATTCTAATGTGATCCATATTTTAAAGTAATTAATCATCTTCTGTGTGCGGACAGTCCAGATGCACTGTGCAATGCAGCATTACAGTTCAAAGAAGGTTGTCTCCATAACTTCTGGAGCTCCTCCTCCAATCACGTGCCACACAGAAAATGTAGTTAATCTTACCAACCGCATAATGTACAAAGTTTGTCCGTGCAAATAATGTATGCAAAAGTTAATGGTATGGATGGAAAGCGCGACAAATTCTTTAGAGATGTATGCAATTGTGAATGCAATGCATGCGTTATTTCATAGAATATAAGATTGGGAAATAAGACACAGTACGTCACTTCAAGATGTCTACGACCCCTATTCCAAATGTTTTACCAAGGAGGAATGCAAAGCGTGATTAATCAACTGCTAACCAAGGCAACCCAGAGGAGAAGCTAATCTTTAACCATGCCTTATAAGTTCCCGGCGTTTCGGGTTTCAGCTCGTAATTACTGAACATTGGCACGGTGAATTTTTGAAACAACATCGCTTCCAGCGCCGGAAAGGTACACGCCACGCTGCAATCGATAACAATCGGCGAAAGGCAGTAGGGTAAGGCGAGGGGCTGTGCCGCGGGGCCCACGTGGGAGCGCGCTCTAAGATGTGAATGGAGGAAAAAGCCTCAAATTATGAATGGGCCAGAAGGGAGCGCTCCCGCACAGTGCGCGCACTCCAAATATATGCAATCTACATGTAGTTTCTTTACGTTTACTGGAGCTAAACTGGACATTCAAGGAGATCGTCGCTCATCATTGTATATGTAGCTCAGTATGTACCCAGGGCAGGCTTTAGCAACGCGACAGACATCTTTTAAACCGTATACGGCAACTAAAGCAACGAGACTGGTGTTTATTTTCCAACGTATTTTATGTATAAGACTACAGTAAAATTTTTGTATATGTAATGCGCAGAAATAAAATGGCTTTACATGCATGCCTGGTTGTTCACAAATATACCAGAAGAATATATTTCTGACACTAAATATTGCTGCTTTATGCATTTAAAATACAGTATCGTTATTTATATATTACAATAAATTATATTTAGCTGAAATATAAATTCATAGTTGTAAAAATAATATCAACAATACAGGTTAATTTTATTTTTTATTTTAATATGCATCCTTCTTCCACATATGAGACTGTCCCAGGGAACGCCCCCACTTCAAAGTGCTTAGACAGCGGAAGGATGGATGGATATTTATGGTGGGGATAACATAAACAATGCCATTCATTTCTATGATGATACATCAATATTAAAACTCAAACATGCTGGTAAAATCATGCTGGGAATACAGAAGGTATGACATATTTAATTAACCAGGGATGGAAGAAAAGGCTCTATGGCTGAAAATATGGAGTCCTACTGCCCACTAGAGGTGAACTTTTGCAACAGCACTAGCAAATCGACACTGGGACATGAGTACTTGGGCTAGCAGATCGTACAGCAGAATCTCCTCACCAATACGGTCACCAGGAACGTGGGTATAATGGTTTGGCAGATGAAACTCCTTACAGGCAAAACCAATTATGAAGGAAAGATGGATTGTAGCTGTTTAATGGAGTTGGATCTTAAAAGATCAAATGAAAGTAACAGCACACACATTTGATTTCTTAGATAGTAAAGTCATATAATAATATTAACTACCAAATAAGAATCATATATACAAAAGCATCATAAATGAAGAAATCTGAGAATATACAGAAAAAAATGACCACCCTCTCCTGGTGCCCTTCTAATGGAGAAAACGTGAGGGAGTGTCTCACTGAGTGCCCTTCTAATGGAGAAAACGTGAGGGAGTGTCTCACTGAGTGCCCTTTTAATGGGGAAAACGTGAGGGAGTGTCTCACCGAGTGCCCTTCTAATGGAGAAAACGTGTGGGAGTGTCTCACCGAGTGCCCTTCTAATGGATAAAACATGAAGGAGTGGAGAAAATTTGAGATCGACTGGCAGTTTCACCTTTTCCATTCTGTTTTACAGATGCAAACATGAGGGTTCACAAAAAATTGAAAATATTTGAAAAATTGGAATTTAACCAACTCCTCCGCAAAACCCCAGCATTCCGCGGCCCCCGTGTCCTTCCAAGTGAGCAAACATGGGAAAAGTGCGCTTGTGATGGAGAGAACAATATCTATGATGTGTCACGCCCACAGGGGCGGGGCAACACAGCAGCTAGCAATTGCCACAAATCCCAACACAATATTTCAATCCAAAGCGAATTACCGAGAGTGCGAAGTATTGTTGCCATGTTAATGACATATACTGATCGCTCCTTTGTCTCGTGTCTTCCTTGCTTGCCCTGCCTGCCTCATCGTGCCCTGCTGTCCTGCCTGACCTGCTTGCCTTCCCTGCCCTGTCTTCATCCTCTCTACCATCCCATCGTCTTCATGTCTCGTCTCTGCCTGTAGGACTGACTTCTCCGGCTTTAGACCTCCCGCGATCGCCCCAACTACCCGCTTGGATTTCCCTTTTGGTTTTTGGTGCACCCAGCTTTCTTCCTAATAAACCCTTCTCCCGCATTACGGGGTCTGCCTCTTCTCTGGTGCCCAGACACTACAGAATACTTCGCCTTACCATGGACCCCGCAGAGAATCAGAGGCTGCAGCAGCAGGTCTATCACTTGACGTCTCTGGTATCTCAGCTCATGGAAGCGTGAGCGACTCCGATCAGCTTACCTGCCTCCCCTCCCAGAGCGTCCGCTCCGGTTCCCATCACCATGCCCGAAGAATATGACTGCAATCCGGATCACTGTCAGGCTTTCCTGATGCAGTGCGGGTTGTACATAGAGGAACATCTTTCCCATTCCATCATGTCCCAGGTCCCATGAGGCCTACCTACCTTGAGAGGTATCACCGTTGTGCTAATCATTGTGGACCATTTTTCCAAAATGTGTAACGCTGCTTAAACTCCCTAATGCTTCTGACCTTGCCGAAGTCTGGAATCCCTGAAGACATCGTGTCAGACAGAGGCCCTCAATTTACATCCCGAGTATTCAAAGTCCTTTGCAACAAGTTGAACATCTCGCTGATGTCTGACTTCTGCTTATCACCCACAGTCCAACGGCTTGGCCGAGAGGACTAATCGAAAGCTCTCAGGCTTCTGTGCAAGGACAAGCCTACAGAGTGGGCAGTACACTTGGTCTGGGCAGAGTACGCACTGAACACTTGCACAAACCCTGTTACTCACATGTGTCCCTTTCAGTGCATCCTAGGATATTCCCCTCCACTCTTCCCATGGGAGGCAGATCCCAGTGTGGTACCCCAAGTGGAGGAGTGGTGCCGCGGGGCTACACGTGTTTGGCAGGGGGTCCAATGAGTCTTCTCCCACCAGGGCTCTAAGCAAAAAGCCCAGGCCGATAGACGGAGAAGACTAGTACCGCCATACCAAGTGGGTTAATGGGTCTGGTTGTCCACCTGCAACCTTAAAAATGCCCTCCTACCGTAAGTTGTCGTCTCGATTTATTGGGCCCTTCAAGATTGTGCGAAGGGTGGGTCCTGACTCCTTCCAGTTGGATCTACCACACATGTACCATATCTGCCCTACTTTTCATTCTTCCCTCCTTAAAACTGTTCGTTATAGCCCAGCTCACCCACCGATGGACGTGGCGATTCCACCTCCTACCGTGCCAGATGGCTCCCAGGTCTTCCAGGTTCGGACACTACTATACTCTTTGGAAGAGTATAGTACAGTAAAATCCCATTATAACGGACTTGGCAAAACAGTCAGTTATATCCAAAGTCTGTTATATCCAGAGTTGCTGTATGCCCAGAACATAACCACAGGACACCATTTACTCATGCCACACCCCAGCAGACACACTTGTGGTGTAGATTATTATATTGTACATGTAATAATCCAACTTTACTGGACCAGATGCCTGACTATTAATAATCCCAACTACGTATCTGCGCTGGATATCATCGGCACGCCACGCACCTTGTAGGCGGAGCCTGCATGTCCGTTATAGCCGAACAAGAAAGAAGCGTCCCTGGGGACCAAATTGTTTGTCCGTTATAAGCGAAAATCCATCATATGTGAATCCGCTATATCCAATGCTTTTTCTGCATGTTCGTAAAGGCGCACAGCCGGGACCAGCGGACCTCGTCCATTATAGATGATATTCCGTTATAAGTGAGTCCACTATTATTGGATTTTACTGTATATAAACTTCAGTTTTTTTGGAGGTTTGTAACCTATGTTTTATTTAAATGTGTTGCACCTGCTCTTGATTGGTAAAGAAAATGTCAGATAAAGTTGGTTTTACAGCAACTAACTTTCAGTAAATTGCTATTTGTATCTCTTTCAAGTCACTTTATTTTTAGACCTGTTGAAGTGAGAGAAGATCATGTAACTTAGTGGAATTTGGAAATTGTAAAGTCTATTAATTTCTTATTATGAAAATAAAATTTTGCATTGAACAAAAAATTGTTTTTGTTTGTATACGCTATGAATTATAGTTCTTAGATAGAAAATCGGAATCGGCAAAAGTCGGCAAAAATCAGAATCGGCCAAAAATTTGATTGCATTATGTATGAAAGAATTTAGCCAAAGCTTTCAATAAATATGAATCACTGCTGGTAAAGTTCAGTTAACAATGAAAAAGGAGTATAATTTCAACATCAATTTATTCATGGACACATACAGGTAAAGTTGGCAGAAGTAGGAATATATTAGATTGTTTTTTCATTTGTTTTATCATATAATCTGATAAACCGCCTGCCTTCTTCAGAACGTTACTGAGGTCAAGGTCAGATTTCCATCCACTTCCAAGATACTGATCTGCCGTAAGTTCCGGTGGCGGTGGTTGAAGGTGAATGCCTGTACGCCATTGACGATAATCCTGTACAAATGACTTTCACAAATGACAATCATCTGAAAAGAAAGAATGAGGCCTCAGAGAAGAAGCAGATATCTGAAGACATAGAAGCAAAGCATGACTAGTGACACGGCCTCCTGCATATCTGACGTTACTTTTATATGGGCGGAGTTTATTGTATTTAAATCATTGATAGCTTTAATATCCATAGTGACACTCATCTATTCCGCCCATTTTTCCACACGGGCTCTTCCTGTACTGGGTTATGTTGAGTCTGGAACCTATCCAATGAAAAACAGGACACAAGGGAGGAGACATCCTGAAAGGAGTGGCAGTGTATCACAGAGCACATGTACAATATTTGAGCCAAACACTCCCTCTGGTGGTGGATGCAGCTAATACCGTGTGGTGATTTGGATAACGTGACATGCACTTGATTTAGGAGGCGGGAAGTTCATGAATTCTACAGTTTGTCCAGAAGGCAGACACATGAAATAAAATTCATTTATTTGTAGTACTGTTACAGTTTTAATTTTTTAAAGCAAAAGGAAGTTAGGAAAGTGATGTAAGATTTCAGTAAATGGTTTATTCTAATATCGCTAACCGTGTGTTAGCATACCATGCATTTACGGCTAGCGATCTATATTGTTTTAAATTGGTGAACTTGGTTATTAAATGTATATGTGTATTTCTGAGTTTTATTGGAGAGACACTAAATATTTGTAATTGTAAAATTTCTATTTTAAACTTTGTTTTCACGGTGGAGATTTCAGGTCCAGAGAGTACAAATCCAGACCAAGATTTTGTTTCAATGAACCAGTTGAGTATAAAGAGTCACAGTCACAGAGTACTCAACTGGTACTTTGTTTGAAATACAAATATTCCAAGATACACTAACCAAAGAATAAATACTTTGCAAACACCAGCATCAAGCATGGACTCGTTATGTGACCATTGCAGTTAAAGTGGGGAGTAGAGAACTTGGAGGAAATCCACAGTGACACAAGGAAAACATAGAAACTGACACATGTAGAGTAAGTGTATGATTCTGTGTGCCCTGCGATCACATCCAGGATGTACCACTGCATTGTGCCCTATGCTGCCTAGGACAGGCTCCAAACTCCCCACGAACCTGTACTGGAGAAGTAGTTGGTAGATGCTTCAGTATCCAACCACAGTACACTTGTGACACAAGACCTCCAGCAAATTCAGTGGGAAAGGAGTAGAGGTGGCGCCCGTTACCGTGAACATCTGGCCTCGGCTGAAGGGCATGCCTCCGGAACGTTCCTCCGTGCCCCATCTGCCTTGTTCCTGGTTATTGCACACCACTGTATTCTCATCAAAGCGGGGGTTCAACTGCAAGGCGATCCCTGACACATAGCTCAGGTTGACGTGGAACCTGTGTATAGATGTCAAGAAGACATTATTTTTTTGTTATTTCTCCTGTCCTGTGTCTCCTTACCTCTAACCCCCAATGATCAACAAAGGGACAAAGCACATGATTCAGAGAACAAAACCTCTCTTATAAACTGATGGAATGACCTCAGGCTGAAAAAAATTGCTTTCAATGCATAAAGTGACTGTCATCACCATTGATGTGTGCAAATAGCTAATTAAATGCGTGAAGCTACATCCTGGTCTCACACACACCATGGGGCTGTGTGTGGTTCAGCGGGTTAGTATGCTGCGCCTGTGATCAGAAGGGGGTTGGTTCAAATCCCATGGTTGGCAGAGTGATTTCAGTGTTGGGCACCTGAGCAAGACCCTTAACCCTCAATTGCTCCAGGAACTGTCTGATCTGGTTTTCTCAATTGTATCTCACTTTCGATAAACGATCTGCTAAATAAATAAAATGTAATATAAATGATCTGTGTCACACAGGTGTGAGATCCTGCTCGCACCAGACCTTTTAGCGTCCGGATGGACCACGCCCTGGATGGTGATGTTCCTCCCCGCACGAAGTCCACCTCGAATGGTGGCCTTGTACGGAATGACCTGGGTGCACAAAAAACAATTGGAGTCACCAGGACACTCTGGCCACGCCCACTGTGATGTGAGCACCATGGCAACGATGGTTATTGGATGGTAAATCGAGGGGGGTGTACTTACAAAGGAGGGAGAATATCTAGGCATGGCCTGTAAAATAAAGAGTTACGGCAACAATATTAAATTAAATCAGTCAGGTAGGAAGACAACTACATCCCTGTAAGGGAATATTTTCTTAGCCACCTCTTCAGATGATGTATAATGTCTGACAGAATAACAAAAACATATCTGATTGTGGCCTTTCTTCCCAAGAAGTAATCCTGACAAGCCTCCTTTGCAAAAAAAAAAAGTACCACTGAAAAGGGAATATGGGAAAGGTAAATGGAAAAAAAGAAAAAATTCAAAACAAAGAAATTTCTTCAACTTTTAGTTCTATTGTCAGGCTATGAGAGCAGATTGGTAACCGAAGAGCAAATTTCTAAAAAAAGTTCTTCATTGGATCACAATGAGGACTGAGTGAGTTTTGGCTCTAATTACTGCAACATACAACGAGGAAGCCTGAGTTTAGGTCATTCGCGGTCAAAGGACTGAAGGAGTTCAGGAAATTTGCTATTTAAATGGAAAGAAAAACGTAGAAGAGGTGAATTGAAAAAGACAAAATGCCCAAAATAATTGTATCTACCAGCCCACAATATTTACTCATTTTATAGTCATGCACTAAGGCTGACATTCAGGATGTCCTAGTCCAGTGTTTCCCAATCTGGTCCTCAGGGGAATCACAGACAGGCCACATTTTTGCTCGGATGGGAGCTACATGCCTTATTTTTGCGTTGATGTAATTTTTACAGGCACGTTTCTCTGCTATTACAGCATGGAGTGGCTTGAAAGTGTCATGAAAGTATCGAGTATAAATCGGCTCTAACCTGTCAACGTGTGTGAACCCGACCTGTTTGTCTTAATAAACACCCCCTATGTACGGTTTTCTTTGAACGCAGTCTGCATTTGGGTCGTGCCTTGTTTGATGAGGTGACAAGAATCTGTGTTCAACAGCCTAGATAGTGGATATGTTAATGAAACAGTGTCAGAAATCACCGTCAGAAATTCAGTCCCACTCCGGCCCTGACTACTTTGCTCCTATTACTTCACTTTCTCCAAATTAAACATATGATTCAGCATATCAGACAACACAGTGAACCTCTTCATTTCAGTGGTTATTATTAAAAGCCAAAATATCATATAGTAACCAGTATAATGCATTGCAGACTGAACACCATGAACCATAAGCCATCTCTGACCTCTCATTTCTTTTATGAGAAATGAATACAACAAAAAACAATCCCCTATGTGACAGATGACAAGTCAAACAAATAAAAAAATAGTAAGCTGTCATTCTTTGGAAATTAAATTCAATTAAATCTGCAGCTAAAACAATAAGAGAACACCTTCCAAATTAGCAGTCTCTTTTTTGTGTGTTAAATAGTAAAGCTAAATTTTGGTACCTAGCGGAAATGCACCATACTGTGACTGAAATAGTAAAGAAAGTCATTTTGTTAATAATACAAACAGTTATTCATATTCATTAGAAGCAAACACAATTGTAGTGTTTCTTTAGTTCACTTTTTTGTATTTCCCTTTCCAATATGATTTCCCTTGTTGTAAATGGTTCATTTCATTTTGTTTTTATAGAGTTCTCTTCCCAGTTGCCCTAAGGCGTCTCATGACATCTAACGACAGCACTGCAGAGTGCCACTGCACTCCTTCAGTTAACACTGTTAGTGTGTGAATACTTACAGGAAAAACATGTGGAGGAGGACGGTAAGACTAAGGGTGTTTTCACACTTGGTCCGTTTCATCCTTTAATGCGAACTCAGATCGATTGGTCAGCATTTTTCGAGTATACGTGAACACGCCAAACGAACTCAGGCCCCTTTGAAACAAACCGAACTGAGACCACATCAGGAGGTAGTCTCAGTCCGGTTCGCTTTTAGTCCGCGTCACGGTTCGTTTAACTTTGCATTATGAACACAAAACGGTCCTGGCTTGCTTCGACAATTTTTACCTTTTAGGCTGTAGGCAGATCACGTGGTACAATCCTGATAAACAAGCAAAAACAATGGCTGCAAGTGTGGGACGTGGAATAGTTTGGTCAGAAGAGGAGACTAAGGCGCTTCTTGACATTTGGAACGAAGAAAACATAAAACGTCAACTATCTACAATACACAGGAATTTGCATCCATTTTGCAGGACTCTTGTTTGAAGTGAAAACTACCCAGAATCCAAAGCAGTAAAGGTCTGAGAGCTCCATAAGAACTTGAAGTATGAACAGAAAAAGGACTGAGGCCCCATCTGAGCTGAAGTAAACCAGAAAGAGAACGGAGTCCACTTTCAAATGAACTCGCATTGTGAAAAAAAAGAACTGAGCCCCCTTTCTGTTGGTCCACTTTTGGAACCACTTCTAGAGGTCTGAGTTTGGTTCCTTTAAAGAGGACTAGCCTATACGTGAAAACATCCTCAAAGAAATGGACAAAAAAACATGACTTTTAGAAATGACACATAAACAATGACACATAAACTCTGAAAATAAAACCGTTTTAACAATAACGTGCCCAAAGAAGGTTTCAAATTTCAAACAAAGGCAGCCGTTAGCTGAACTAAAACGGTCATTTTTTTAAATTAAACCAAGTTATGAAAGCATGTGAATACTGCATGAAACCACTGCCTTCGCATGATACACCAGTTTTGTCTGCACACTGCCATACGTCAAATTGCCCTTAAGTTTATACATTTGAGAATTATTAAAGTGCAAAAGTGTCAGGTGATCCACGACAGCCAAAGCATTGACACTAAGTCAGGGAAGCCCAAATCCAGTCCTAGAAGGCCGGAGCCCTGTGTAGCTTAGTTCTTTCTCTGTTCCACCACAAATGATTCAGCTCAAGAGATGTGTGATAATTAGCAAAAGGAGTTTAAACGATTCAAAAAATGTGCAGAGTTTGACACCTCTGCTTTAAGTCAATCCTGACAATGCAATACAAGTCATTTTCATTTTCTTGGGCAACATAAGTTAATCATTTTGATCATGTGCGTTTTCGGTAAAATCATTCCAAGTTGATACATACAGGAAATGTTTGCCGAGGTGGCATATATGGAGCCTGCAGAGGGAAAAAACACCATTAGCATTTAATGTTACGCAACATTTCTTTTCAGATCCTACAAATTCATTCAATGTGCAGCTAGTCTTGTTCAGTAATTTTCAGGTTGCCACCTGCCCGTTAGCTCACCATGGGATTTTGGAAGCTGATGGAGGCCAGCTCAACTCCACCATCCACTGCGATGGTGTCCACTTGACCGAAGGGGATACGGTGATTAAATTCCATGAAGTGGTTCCCATTAGCCATCAACTGAGGATGAAGTAATTACACTAATTACAGTTGACCTTGGGGTCTATTTATTTGATTTCTTGAAATAAAACCAAGTAATATCAGTACTTTATGGCATTTTTGATGGGGCATGAAATGTGCATATAATATACTCTTGACTACCCCAATAGCAATTAAAATCGGCAATAACACAGTAAATAGATTAATAATTATATGATCTATTCTATATGTGATGGTAATGACATATAGGCATGGACTGATGTCGTAATGGGTTTCATTCTTCTGACCTTGTATTTGTCAGGACTGACCATGATAGTCAGCATGAATATGGAGCACCGAGGGAAAGGAGCCTCGTACTTTCGCTTCTCTGCGCCCCACGCTGAGTTCCTGCAGGTGTTCAGGACCACGTATGCAGGATGACTATCAAACCTCTGGTTGAAGTGAAGTGCTACGTCCGCTCCAACCCTCGATCCGCACTGCAAATTCACATGGAACCTGGAGTAAAGTACGAGATACAGAAATGAGATTTCACTCGCATTTCAGCTGACACAATCCCTTTTCTCCCCATGACTTTACGACTTGTGTTAGTACAGGGTTTCTGCAGGTTTCAACAAGTTAAATTGAAGACTTAAGACCATTTCGAAACCATTGTGATCGCAATTTAAGACATATTTCACATCCATGCTGGAAAAATAAGTGTTTAGGATGTGAAGGAAGATAAGAGTCCCGGAATTACTCACATAGTAAATTTATTTATTCACATTCATTATGAACATTAATTAATTGTTTTATTATTATTATCATTATTATTATTGTTGTTATTATTATTATTACTGAGAGGAGACGCCCACGGTAGCCCACACACCATATCGCAAAACTAACTGCTCCGATAAAACTCTGACTGGGCTACACAGTTAATGATTAGCAGGTAGTAATTATTGGCTCCATGTTGGTTTAGTTTTGTAGTTTCGTTAAAGCGTAATAAATATTTTTCCCCCAAAACACATTTAAAAGCGAGACTTCAATTAATGCAGCTTTATAAAACTACAGTAGCCCCCCCGTATCCACGGGTGATGCGTTCTTAAGACAACGGATAAGTTCCCTACTCAGCGGCTTACAGGCTGTACTCGCGTGCAGCGCGATTTTAAACTTAGGAAGCCTGCTGTCATTTTTAAACTTTTTTTCCGACAGCAGTAAACTGCAGATAGTTATAATTGGATTCGTGATTTTAGTTAATAATCCAGTCAATTTCTAAGACCTCTGAAAATCGTTGGCCGCTGTCATTTTAAGGGCTAAAATTCAGATTATTGGATTTCAGACTTTTTAACAACTTTCAAGATAGCGGAAACCCTGTAGCCTACTAGTAGAAACTGATTTAGACCTAAATCAAATCAAATTAAGTCCAGAACCTCTTCGCGTTGTGTTTAACTCTTCCGGTAATGGTGATCGTTTTCCAATTTTGAAGTCCACCTTGAAAATGACCGGTGAAGGGGACAGTCTGTGGAAATACGTGATGATATATTTAGTATGATACGTTAAGGATGACATATGTTCAACAACGGATTGTGTAATTGGCATAGTCATACTGTAAAGTCAAAAGCTGTGAATTAACATTGTCTAACATTAAAATACTGAATTAAATGCAAAGTGAAAACTACGGAGATCATATTTTCCCCATCACTATAAATCCGTTAAATAGCATGTTTTCTAAAGCCATATGTAATTTTACTCACCGGGTTAAAAAACGGTTGCTGGGTGCGATACGACATCGTTTGTATAACGGCTGCTCAAGTGATACAGGTTTAAACGCAACTTATCCTAAAGCTATACCTCACTTCTGCTTCCCGAAGTTTCGTTTTCCTGGGCCTACCTGCGTAGTGGTGTCGTGACGTAAAGAACTCAGGACTGGAGGGGAGGCGTGGTGGTGAAACAAAGAGGAAAGGTTTATTGCTGTAAATGGACAGAGACTGGAAACGAAAGGATCACGAGGGATCATAGACGGGTGGACTTCCAACCAAGAAAGGCAAAAGTAAAAGGCAGGCACGATGTCAATGACCGGACTGGGGCTGACGAGACAAACAGGTAGCCTACTTAAATACAAGGACCGACGAGGGGTAACAATTAAGCAACAGGCGTGGCTCAGCAGGGTCGTGTTAGGGAGGAGACAGGAGGTTCAGGTGTGAAGGACGCGACAAGTGGAGTGGATAATAAAGCAACAAGTTAAACAATATCTGTGTACGTTTCAACTACATTAAAATTTCCGGCAGCATACCCTATCGCAAATATTTAATAAACGCTTACCTTCGTGTGAGAACCTGACAAAGCAATTTCACTTTAAATTATAATATTATTGTATAATCATGACGCTGTTTCTGACGCAACTGCACACATGGTATCCTCTAATGTTAATTCGGTCGCATGAGTTACTCTAGTGATTCCGCTTTACATTTTTGCTGGCATATCTTACTTCTTTAAAAAATATCCTCAGTAACAAAAAAAGTTAAGCACCCAAATGGAGTGGTGGAAATGTAATGCATCTGCATGTGGTAAAAGGTCATGTGACTGTGACACATGTGGCACTTTAAAGCCAATGATTATAATATCAGATGAAATGGAGAACAGAGTTGGCAGTATTGGCACACTGTTGGTTACATGTTAGTAGGGTTTGGCACCCCCCGGGCCTGGATACATGCAGCGATATGGTGTGGAAGGGAGTCGTACAGCCGTTGTATTCTCTCCTGCGGCAAGTCGGCCTATAGCTGTTGTAACTAGCCCTCGAGATCCTGGAGATTGGCACTGGGTCTAAGTTGGGAAAGATGCTGATGCTCAACAAGGTGTGAGAGAAAAAGCACAGACAAGATTCGAACCCCCAGCCTTGAAGGTGTGGAGCACAGTTCAAGCACCAGTGTGCCACACTGAGTCATATGACACTTGAAATGAAATAGCACTTTATTCATCATGAGTATGTAAGACTTGCATGCCCATATGATAACCCATGAAATCCAATGTGTACATATGTGCAACACGATATATGTGAAATTTGTGATATGTATGATTGAAGGAGCTGGAAACACCTAGATCTGACATCAAAGTAATAGGTGTCTCTAATGTTAGTGTGTATTTTAAAAAGTAGCCCAAAAACAATGTTTAAGGCAGGTCA